CAAGTCTTGTTTACACACTACTAATTTGTATTGACACTACATTACTGTAGAAGCAAGTCTTTTCAAGTGGAAGGGTGAAGGATGCTTTCAGTTTTAATTTATAGAAAGTGTGCCCCAGCGATTTGGGAAACACTGCCTGGGGTTATGTTATACTTACACACAAAGGTGGTAGTGTTCTGGGAGTGCAAAGAGCTTGAAAAATGCTTGACAGTTCTCTGTTGCATCAAACTTATTTCTGGCACAACTCAACTGAAATTAAATGGGAAATAAACCAGCACAGCTGTCTGAAACTGAAGTCTTAGCATTTGTAGAACAGAATGCTGATTAAAAATGTTTCCTATAGAAAGCTATTTGGCAGAAAGTAGTATTTCCTTTTAGAAGAAAAACCTATTTTGATACAGCTGGGAAAAATACTCGTGTTCCATATGTTTTGAAATCTGGACCCTGGAGTTTGATGTCAAAGAATTCTGTATGATTTAATAATCTGCAGGCACTGAATACATGAAAAAATGTTCATACTTTTTCTGTAATTAATTCCTAAATCCTAAATTCCAAATATCTAACAATGAGATAAAAGTTCAGGAACAGTATTCTGAAAGGAGAACTACAAGGCAGTAAACTTAACAGAGGCTGCAGCATGAACAGAAACTTGCCCAGCAACTTTTATACTTTTCTCAGCATTCCTTTTTAAAATATTTCTCGTGTCTGGTAGAGAAAAAATATATCTAAACTACTGATCACTTAAGGTCTGTACTTCTCCCTGCTTTTTCTGAAATAAGGATGTATACTTGGAGATATGCAGGGGCTGCTTCCAATTACATACCTACAGAGCCAAACTTGTATATGAAGATGGAATGATAGCACAAGTGTCCTTTTTAAAGTATAGTTAACCAAGGAATAAAAAGTCACCCTGTGTGCTACCAGATCTGTTATTTAATAGTCAAGTATAATCTGAGGACCGAGGTCTTTTAAACCACACTTGGTTGGTTCACCCTTCCTGGAAAAGTGAGATCTGGCCACAGTCATCCCTGGTTTGATAACATCCAGATTAGATTACCGCAATGTGCTTTATGGGAGAGGACTCTGAAGACTTCAGAAACACCCTTTGGTACAGAATGCAACTGCAAGATTGTTAGCTGGTATACTGTTATGAGAACATATTCATCAATTTGAAAGATCTTTGTTGACTGTCATTTTGTTGCCAAGTACCATTCAAAGTATGTGGAGTTACTCTTAAAGCCCACACTGCACTCAGTGATCTCTTGATGTTAACAGTAGAATTGGGGAGTGGGGGCTCAGTGGCTTGTAGCAGTGTGAGTGTGGGGGTGTAATGGCCCATACATACTGCCTCAGTTTTACTCCTGCTTATTTATTTATTTATTCAATTCATGAGTCGCCCACCCTGCAAGCAGACTCTGGACGATTTACAGTCCTAAAAATTAAAATACAATCAGCGTAAAATTATAATAATCCAATAAACCAACAGTCCAGAAGGCGATATAGACCCCTTTTGCTGGCTACAGTGCTGTCTGTGCGGCAGGGCAGGTGGGGTCATAGGAAAAAAAATAGAAAGAGTCTTAACCATTGCTGCCCTCAACTAAAAGCCTGGCGGAACATCTCTGCCTTGTAGACCCTGTGGAATTTTATCAGATCCCGCAGGGCCCTGATGTTGTTCGGCAGAGAGTTCCACCAGGACCGAGAAGGCTCTGGCCGTAGTCAAGGACAGCCGGACTTCCCTGGGCCAGGGATCACTAGCAAGTAGTTGTCAGCTGATCTGTGTTCCTCTGGGGAACAAATTGGAGGAGGCGGTCCCAAAGGTACGTGGGTCCCTGACCACTCAGGGCCTTAAAAGTCAACACTAATACCTTGAACCTGACTTGGTATTCCACCAGTAACCAGTGCAGCTGGTGCAGCACAGGTTGTATATGTGCTGTCCGTGGCGTTCCCACTAGGTCTCACGCTGCTGCATTCTGGACTAGTTGGTGTCTCAAGGGCAGGCCAGCATAGAGTGAGTTACAGTAGTCCAGCGTGGAGGTAACCATTGCATGGATTACCGTGGCTACGTCAGGGCGCAACAGAAAAGGGGCCAGCAGTCATGCCTGCTATAGATGGTAAAACGTCAGTCTGGCAGTATTAGTAACCTGTGCCTTCAAAGATAAGGAGGCATCCAAGGTCACACCCAGGCTCCTTTATATATTTATATTGATGATTGTACCACCATCTTTTAACTAATTATATCTATTTAGCTAGCACTTCATGATTATGAATTGTTTTAAATTCTTTTATCTATGTTACAATTGTCTATTTATATTTTATCTTTGTAAGCCGCCCTGAGCCTGCCTCGGCGGGAAGGACGGAGTATAAATTCAACTAATAAATAAATACATATAGTTCCAGATCATTTATGAATAAATTAAATAGTGCCAGCCCCAATACCGATCCTTGTGAGACCCTACTACTTACCTCCCTCCATTGTGAGAACTGTACGTTTGTTCCTACTCTTTGTTTCTTGTCATGTAACCCATTTTTAATCCATAAGAGAACCTGTCTTCTTATCTGCTAAATTCACTCAGGAGTCTTTGGTGAGGTACCTTGTCAAAAGCCTTTTGAAAGTCCAGGTATATAATGTCTACTGGGTCACCATTATCTACATGCTTGTTCACTTTCTCAAAGAACTCCCAAAGGTTGGTGAGGCAGGACTTCCCTTTGCAGAAGCCATGCTGATTTCCCCTCAACAAGCTTTGTTCCTCTATGTGCCTAACAATTCTATCTTTGATGACAGTTTCTACTAATTTGCCTGGGATAGGCCTACTGGCCTGTAGGTTCCTGGTTCTCCTCTGGAACCCTTTTTAAAAACTGATGTCACATTTGCTACTCTCTGTTCTTCTGGTACAGTGGCTGAATTTAGTGATAGGTTACATATACAGGGTAGTAGATAAATGATCTCACATCTAAGTTCCTTAAGAACTCTCAGGTATATGCCATCAGGACCTGGAGACTTATTGGTTTTTAATTTCCCAATTAGGTCTAGAATTTCATCTCTGGTTACCTCAATTTGGCTCAGTTCTTCAGACTCCCTTCCTGAAAATAGGGGCTGTGGCATGGTTACATGCACCACACTTTCCACAGTGAACACAGAAGCAAAAAAGTCATTGAGCTTCTCTGCCATCTCCCCATCTTCCTTTAGGAATCCCTTTATTCCTTTGTCATCTAAAGGCCCCACTGCTTCTCCGGCTGGTTTCCTGCTCCAAATTTTTAAAATAATGTTTATTGTTTGTTTTTATGTTTTTAGCAACCTGCTTCTCAAAACCTTTTTTGCATGCCTAATTATATCTTTTGCCAGAGCCTGTGGCCCCTCCTGTTCAAGTCATTGGGGCAGACCTCCCACTTTTAAAAGAAGTCTCTGTTCCACCAGGCCTTTGGCTGAGACAGCGGATGTCCAAATGACATCAGCCTTCCCTACTTCACTTGTTTAATCTGCCTGATTTGCCTCTTGCTTTAGGGCACTGCCTTTACCAACTTGGGACCAGCACCAGCTGACTTGGGTCTCTGTAAGAGAAATGTGTCCACCCTAACATTAGCGCAGCTGGCACCATAATGAGAATTTGTTAAGCTGCCATCAGGAATGTTAACTGCAGCTCTTGATTTTATGAATTATTACTTATTGTTGAATGATTAATTATTTTTTTACTGAACGTTGTAAGCCACCCTGAGCCAGCTTGTGGGGTAAAAAGGTAAAGGTAAAGGTTCCCTTGCTCGAAAGCCAGTCGAATCCAACTCTAGGGTTGCAGTGCTCATCTCTGTTTCAAAGCTGAAGAGCCAGCACTGTCCGAAGACATTTCCATGGTCATGTGGCCAGCATGACTAAACACCAAGGCGCACGGAATGCTGTTACCTTCCCACTGAAGTGGTACCTATTTATCTACTTGCAATTTCTTGCTTTCGAACTGTTAGGTTGGCAGGAGCTGGAGACGGGAGCTCACTCCGTCATGCGGCACACTTGGGTCTCAAACTGCTGAACTACTGACCTTCCACAGCCTGCAGTTCAGCGTCTTAACCACTTGAGCCACCGCAGCTCCATTCTGTGGGGTAGGGTGCGATATAAACAGAAATAAATTCTTTTTATAGTTTCCTTGACTTGCATAGTTAACCACGCAGGCCTTCTTTTAGACTTGGCAGTGCCTTTCCTAACTTGTGGAATGCATTCTATTTGGGCTTCAATTAGCTCAGTCAGTAATTTTCAGACTAATCTCCTTCTGTTGGACTCAGACTTTGTCCTCCTGTGAAGTTTGAGTCCAGTGGCACCTTTATTCAAGGTACCTTGAATAAAACTTTGTTGGTCTTAAAGGTGCCACTGGACTCAAACTTTGTCCTGCTGCTTCAGAAGGACACAGCTACCCACCTGAACCTACTTCACAGGATTATTGTGAGGATAACAGAGAACAGGGGAGATATATGTTAGCTCCTTGGGTAATAACAATGCATCATAGACAAAATGGATAAAACTTGTACAGTTAACACAGTTGCATCTACAATTGCACTTAAAAGATAATGAGCAGTTTAAAAAGGCATAAAAAGTAATGCTGGCTAGGTGACCCCAGGATCCAGCACTATTCTTCATTTTTCAGATGTTACGCTTGGATCTCCAATATAAACTGGCTAAATAAATAATTTTAAAAAAGGCATAAAAAGTAATGTTGCGCTTGGATCCCCAATATAAACTGGCTAAATAAATAATTTTAAGGCCTGATAATCCAAAACAAACAGTTGAGGGAATAAGGCTTGGATGCAATCCAACATATTGAGAGAAAGATAAATGTGAGGATCCACCGCTGGATTGAACTGAGGCTCTCCCCCCATACCGAAATACTTGGTGTCATGGCTTGTGGAGAGAAGCAAGGCAATCCCCATGCGCAGATTGGTCTGAAGCTGCAAATACTTTTGGTCGCGCCTCTGTTTGTACATCCGGGATTAGTAAACTAGATTCGCGCAAAAGTCATCACGGAGCTGGATGCCTAAAACAGTTAGCCCGCCTCAGACTGAAGAAAATCACTCTACTGCGGCCAACCTGAGCGTCGCCGCTTCATTCCCGGCCGGGCATCAGGGCCCGGAAGGAAGGAGTCGGGGAGGGGCGGAGCGGAGAAGAGAAGAAGAGAGGAGAGGGGAAGCGCGGAGCGGCCTCCTGTGTTGGTGCCGGCTGGAGTTGCGTACGGAGCGGCCCGGATCGCAAGCTCTTAACCGCGGGTGAGTTGGTGCTGGTGGCGGGAGGGAAGGATGCTGGGCAAGGCGCTGGATCTCCACTTTGGTTCCCCCGACTCCTATTCAGTCTACCCTGTCTGTCCTTCTGTACTCCTAGTCTCACTCCCATCCGAAATTTGCGTCTCTCGTATCCATTTCGCTGCCCCACCGATGGCCCTTTCTTGGTACAGCACCTGTTGCCTCTCTTTGTCCTGAATGTCACCTTACACCTGTTCCCTCCTTTCTTAAGTAGATGCTTCGCTCCTTTCCCAAGTGCCTCGTTCTGCCTCTTTTCTGCTGCTTTTGTCCTCAGGACTCTATCACCTTCCTTGGTCTGTCCCCACTGACACCGAGATCTCTGTCTTTTCCTTCTTCTTCCCACCCCGAACTGGGCTAATATTTTTATATTTATGTATCTAAACAGTGAACTTTTAGTTCTTTGGTCCTGTTTGGATCCTTGGCTAAGCCAACCGCAGCTGTCATTTAGAAAGGAAACTGGCGATTAAACTGACTTGCCCAATCTCACATTGTGAATCAGTGCAGAAAATTAGCTGAGAGAGGAAACCAAAAGACCTGGTGATTTGTCTTCTGGACTTTGTTGGTGCTGCATCTGCATGCTGTGCTTACAGTAATTTCTATAGCACTTTTAATATGCCAAATGCCTGACAGGCTTTGTTCTTAAAACAATTTTGTGACGGAAATCACAGTCCTTATAAACTATAAGTCATTTACCCAAGGCCACTTGGTGAACTCCTACATGAGCAAGGGTTTTAAATGTCGGTTAAAGACAAGTGTTCTACCTCTGACCAAGCTAGGCAGTTGTACATACAATCTCATTGCAAGCATGATGATGATCTTCATTACTGAAAATGGCAACTGGCAACTTGACTATTAATCCGGAAAATGGCTGAGTAGTACTGATGAATTTTCAATGCCTTCTGTACTCCTTGCCACAGATACTGTTGGTTGTATAGTGGGTGCATATGCTACTTGAAAGTTAGAAATTGGGTTGGGTTTGCTTTGTCATGATTACAGGTGGTTATTGGAAGGAAATTTCCTTAGCTATGGCATGATAATGTTCTTTCGTGGCCAAAATAAGATCAACAGATTTGTAATAAATATCCTTTGGCTTAGGTAATACTATTTGAAGTCTTACGCAGTGATAGTTGTTTATTACCCTCTCTGGCCCAATAGCAGAATGATTTTTCTGGCAGCATCTGACACTACTAGGGACAAGGCAAAGTTACAACCACAGTCATATTTCTCAGAAAGTAATTCAGACTGCACTTGCTTCTGTGTAAACATGCTTATAATAAGGTTGCTGATATGTGTCTCCATTCACCTGTCTCCTTATAACCTCTTGAACTGCTAAAGCAGGCACTGAAAGTGTTTCATGCCACTAATATGAAAATCAGGTTAGTAACTTAGTGGAACAAGTCTTATGTCACATCTTTTCTACAGGTGTAAATACTTAAAAGTTGCATAATACAATCTAGTTCTCCATTTAACATGCTTTAACTACCAGTCATATCTACAGTTGGAATTTTGGTAGAATATTTGTCCTCCACAACCATAGTAACTGGTGACATGGAAATGTAGGTCCCATGTTGGTAGAAATGAATACAGAACCGAATGTTAACTCTTCGAGATTAATGCATCTAGAAAACAGATGTGTGAGCTTTTTATAAAAATCTGAAAATGAGTTAGTCCTGTCATTGTGCAGCAGTTTATTGTTCAGTGATAACTTTCATAAGAGTTTAATATTTTGTGTGGAAGAGACTGTGGCTGTTATCGGCTAATACTCTCCAAATTATTTCCAAAATATAATCATATTTGAAAATTGTGTGTGTTAAAGATAAGATTTGACCAACTACTTTTATATTGGTATTTACCGTAAGTGGAGTACAAAGTACATTAAATGTTAACTTTAATGCAATTTTATTTGCATTTTAAGGATTTACAAGTGTTGTGAATTTAATAAGGAATTGCTTTGTAAAAAATCACTCACTGTTACGTAGGAGCTTTACAGTCTCAGGCTTAAGACTGTGCAGGTCAGGTGTGGCCATCTCTGTGGTTTCTTAATGTTCAAAAATCTGATGACTCATATCACTGCTGGTAGTTTCATACTAGGAATTCCACCTCTTTAAGGGGTGGTGGTGGTTTCCTTTACATAATGATCTAGTACGTCACCAATGGAAGCTGAAATTCCTCTTAACTAAATAGAAACAACGTCACTCCAACTTTTAATTAACTTTTTTGTAACTTATCCCTCACTTGTTTGTATGACAGACACATTTTTATTTTATTTATTTGCCTATGTTATTTATAGTCTGCCTTTTTCACACAGAAGTGATATAATTTGTACCAAAGATTACAGTACTTAGTTTTGTTACATTATAATCATAATGTTTAGTTTTTTACACTTTTTAAATATAGATGGTTCAAGAGAGATGATAGTTTCATTTTCTTTAACACATTTGGACCAAATCATGAAATACTTGAGTATCTCCTCAGATTTTGAATTAAAGTCGTTCAACTTTAAGTAGGCTATATTTACGATTACAGGCAGACATGTAGTTCTGTCAAAGTCTGGATAGAAAAGATGGATCAGGTTTGGGATGTTACCGAAGATGAGCAAGCAATTACAACATCACTCCCAATGTGTCCTTAACTGGGCAGGGCTAGATCACTATCTATGACGGCCTCATCCATTTCCCTCCCTCAGAGGCAAGATCTGTTTTTCTTTCCCTTTACTGACTGAGCTGCCCTAGTGATGCTAAAGAACTCTGGCTGTCCCACTCTGTCACAGGACAATATTTTGGTTGTTGGCTCAGCCCAGGAGCTTGAGGGAAGAATCAGGAATTCACTTAAACAACCTAAATGGCCACTTGAGACATTTTGAAATTAAAAAATAGCAAAATATTTTATTTAACATAGAGGGAAAAGGTCAGGTGGAATCAGGGGTAGAGATTTCTGAGGTAAAACCAGTACATGCACAGACTTATGTTTCAGGCAAATGAGAGTTTCTTAAGCTTTTCACTGTGACTTAAATCTTTATATTGAGAGGCTTCAATACACTGTCTTTGAGTATTCTCTGACTCTTTTGGTTTCCAGAATGCTGGTACACTCTTTCCAATACACAATCCCCTTCTCTTGAAACATCAGTACTTACCTTGCATTTTTAACTGCCTCTTAAGGTTTCTACAGGCAGTTTCTAACCACGCCAGACCAGGGATCTCTGCACTCTTCAGCGCTAACTCCCTGTTTGACTGGGTAGGGAAATTCTCCTCTCACTAGAAGATCTATCCCCTTTTCTTGGCCCGAATGGGAGTCATCGCCTACTTTCCAAACTTCCTTGCCAACTTTCCACAGTTCTCCTATCTGTATTAAATTGCTCTCAGTCAGTGCTGAATTCTGAAACTGTCAGTACTTGACTCTTCTCAGCTTGGGCTGAAATCAGACTGAATTCAGTCAAGGCAGAAATCTGACTGAGGCTGTGGTCACACTGGCGGCTTGGCACAATATGGTACCGCCTCTAATTGTACCAGTTGAAAGTGTTGTGGGGTATATCATCCAGACAGCATACCTTGCTGTGGGTTACCCACACAGACATCCTGTGGTCAAGCATCCACCTAACCGCAGTGTGTCAGCCACAGAGTACACTGCCCGGAAACATTTCAAAACGCACGCACATAAGTGCACATGCGCATATAAGCAAAAAATTTAAGAACCCTCCCTAGCAGCAAGAATGGATCTGCAGGTTCAGACTGCCAGATTTGTTCTGCGTGCGCTCCCCCATGTTCAGACTTCCAGCCATGTGCAATGTATGTGTGGGGAACCAAAAACACCACTTGTGATGTGGTGTCTTTTTAACGTGGGTCAAGTTGTCCTATGATGGGATGAGTATGCTGGGGGAATGCCTGACAGATGTGGCTATGTGACTGCGCCTATATGATCCGGAGGGGAGGGGTGGCTGCGTCAAGCCAAATTGCTAGTGTGATCACAGCCTGAGTCTCTCCTCAGCATCCAGCTCTCTTCAGACTTTCTCTGCTCAGCTGATGCCAACCAGTCAGATTGCTTGGAGCAGCCTGTCACTCAAGGCTCCCTGTCTTCTGTGAAGAATTAACCCTTCACAGTCCTTCAAATGTTTGTACAGCACTTCTAAGCTTTTTAAAAGTGCAGTCCGTCACACTGGGTATTTGCCTTAAGACTGCTGGTATGTTTGTTCTTAATCGTCATCCAACACTGACCAGTATGGACATCACTATGGATTGAAAGAGACTAGAAACATTGGGTGCAATCCAGTGAAAGCAATCAGGCCTCACTGAAATCAGTGGGACCTCAGAGCCTGTTGTTTTCAGTGTTTGAAAAACACATTTGTCTGGGCCATGTGACTTTTTAAAGCTGTTGTTTCCCCCCCTGTGAATATAGTTGATAATTGAGTGCCTCTGCTTTTTGCCTGAAAAAGGGTTCTGGGATCTTAGAAAGTTTAGAGACTTCAAAAATTATATTGAGAATTGCTAGACTGGTGTAGGTCCAGAGTATGGACATCTGTAAGTACCTCATAAATGCTGAATGGTGCTGTTTAGTTTTGTGATATATTTGTTCATGTATTTATATCTTTTCTGGATAGTCAAGCAAAAGACTCAGTTACGTATTGACAAAATATGGATTGAAAATGCAGAAAGTCTGTGAAACAAAATAGGCTGCTAACTGCAGCAAATAAAGAAAAAAAATAGATTGCACATTAGTGGAAGAAAATAATCTTCAGACTTTGAAGCCTTTACTAGTGGAGTATTGTGAGTTAACAATTTGGAATTGTGTTGTCATTTTAATAAGACAGAATGCTAATCTTTAAATACTAGATATGTTAGGAATGCAAAGAGTTGTATCTACCACACTTCAAAAGAATGTCAGTAGACTCATTTTGTTCAAGCTTTGGAACTTTTCGGTTTGTAAACAGGAACTGGCATTCATAATCCAAATCATCATCCCAAATGATAGTT